CTCTCCCTTTTTGGGCTTATTATGCTGTTCATGACTGGATTTTTGGGGAGACACTGTGTAGGATTCTCTCAGGTGTCTACCTCCTTGGCTTCTACAGCGGCATCTTTTTCATAATCCTGCTGACCCTAGACAGGTATCTGGCCATAGTGCATGCAGTGTTTGCTTTAAAAGCTAGGACAGTTACCTACGGCATCCTCACCAGCATTGTCACTTGGGCTGTTGCTATTTTTGCTTCTGTTCCTGGGATAGTATTTCACAAAACTCAAAAGGAAAATTCACGTTATACTTGCAGTGCTCATTATCCATCAGAGCAGAGAAATGTATGGAAGCAATTCCTGACCTTAAAAATGAACATCCTAGGACTTGTTATTCCAATGTTAATTATGATCTGCAGCTACACACAAATTATCAAGACATTACTACAATGTAGAAATGAGAAGAAACATAAAGCAGTCAGGCTTATTTTTATCATTATGATTGTCTACTTTTTTTTCTGGGCACCATACAACATTTGTATTCTCTTGCGTGATTTTCAAGGTACATTTTCCATCACTACTTGTGAAGGCAGTGGTCAACTGCACAAAGCAACCCAAGTGACAGAAACAATCTCAATGATCCACTGTTGTATCAACCCTGTAATCTATGCCTTTGCTGGTGAAAAATTTAGGAAGTATCTTCATAGCTTCTTCCGAAAGCAGATTGCATTCCACTTCTCAAAATGCTGCCCTGTTTTCTATGTTGACACAGCTGAACGGGCTAGCTCCACCTATACACAATCTACTGGAGAACAAGAAGTTTCTGCTGCATTGTAAGTTGTGTCTAGTGAAAAAGTGGCATCGACTTTTGTGAAATCAGGTCTGTGATGAAAGCCTGCAGAATCTGTCCTGGATATTGGCTCTAAGGCAGCTGCAAAAGATCTCAGAATACATATTTACCAAAGCTTGTTTTTGCTCATACATTTGGGTATTTGTACATAAATGAAAAGGATTTATCAAATTAGCTACCTAGATATGCTAATGTGGGATTCTGTAGGGGGGGAAGTGTTCTTTTTTTTGTGAACATAAAATCATAGTTTTGTACTATAGGGCCCAAAACCATACAAAGGCTGAGGGCCTAATCTAGCACGTTTATAAACTGTTTTTTTAAAAGTGAACTAGAGGTTAGAAATTGACACCAGTTCTTTGCAAACATCTCTTGACTATTACTCTGACCTTACACAAGATATCTCACTCATTTAAACTCAGTTTTAGCCACAACCCTTACTAGCCTGGTTGTGTATCTCTGTAAATAACGCTAAAGTACTGAGGTCTGTGATACAGAATCTTTACAAGTGGTATGGGAAAATTTTACGTATTTAGAAGAAACTGTGATACTTCAAGGTATATTTTCCTTTGCATATGTTTGGGTACCAACCTCTTGGATATGTCCAGTAATAGTTTTAACTACTAGGGGTTGATATCTAAGTGACTTGAGAGTTTGATATTTCAGATGGCTCTATTTTAATCAACTGCTGTTTTATATGCTATTTGTACTAAAAAGCTAGTACCTATTGCAATCATACCTATCATTGATCAGAAAATCAATGTGTTTACAGTATTTTAAATATAAAGTATTGCACGTGGAGCTTTAACCAGGTTAGATCAAATGTTGACAACGAGTCAACAGTGTTTTAGCTTTTTAGTGCAGTGATTTTGCCTGCCATTTTTCTAACCTACATAAGAGAAAAACTTTAAAATATGAAATGAATGCAGCCATAATGGCTGCAAAACCACAGCAGCATTAGAGGTGTGAAAATGATTTCTGAACAGGGTTGACCCAGATGTTTTTAGAGATAAGCATATGCTACAGACATTTAAGTTATCAAAACATATGAATAAGGAAAAATATTCACTGTTCTACAGAGTCAAGGGCATAAGGCATATCTTTTTTTGCTTTAGAAGCACATATCATTTGGGGGCTATGGCAATGTTTGTTTCTGCCATTTAGGAGTTTTACAGAGAGCAAAATCTTCCATAATTAGTAAGACTGATGGTCAAATATAATCAGTCTTCCTCTTAAAGCTCAGACCCTGCAAAGCACTTGAACACATAGAAAAGATGAAATAAATATGGGGATACTCACATACTTAAGATCATACCATAATCATGCCATTAATTGATTTAGACCAAGTTGTCCGTTCTAGCATTTCTTTTATTTCCCCTAAGACATATGGTTTTGGACAACCCTGGAGATAGGAAATTAAAAGTGAATATTTTGATTGCTGTTCTTATCCAGCAGGGCAATTTCTGGTCCCAAACTCCTCTACACAGCCTTTTAAATAATATTTTCAAAGCAGCAAATATTTCAAACAGCCCCAAAGAGATTTTACATTGCCAAGTGTTCTGAAAGCAGGAACTGAAATAGGGAAATCTTTGCTTATCAAACCATTTGTTTTAAGTTATTCAGTTTTATCATATTAAGCATCACTTTTGGACTACATGCACAAGGGAAGTATAACAAAAGCATACTACTCCTTCTAATTTACAAGATTTTCAGCTGCATACTCTTTCTTAAGACCCCATGCATCAGTTAGTTTCCAGACTTTGTATATGCTTTTAAAACTGTTAACTATACCAGTATATGCAGAAATTGGGTAATTTCAGCATAAAATTACAAACATATGCATTTATTTTTTAAAAGAGATAGGAAGGTACATAGAGTAACTTCTAGATAGGCTGGCTTTTTTTTTTCCTTCTGGAATATCTTTATGAAAATATTTTTATATATTATTCTGCTCTTGACAAGAACTTTCATTTGGCCCCTAAGACACCTTGCCTTTAAGAAGTTACTTTATCTGGAATTTTTTTTTTAAAGACAGGTTATGTATCTTGACCAGCCCTGCAGCAGCAAAGTACAACAACCAAACATGCATGAGCACACTGACAAGCTTTCTGAGAGGCACGTCAAAAAGCAGCCCCGATCCTTTGCAGTGTTCTCTTCTGCAGCATGGATCTTTCCAAACGACAAGCACCTTCTGAAGGACGGCGGTGGAACTGAGAAACACAGATTAGTGGCCCAGTGGACTAGCAGTTTATCAAGAGTTTCTATCACTTCACCAAGAAGGGACCACACTTCAGCGAGTGAGAACAAGTCAGATTTCAGCTACGGTAGTGAACTGTGATCTATATTCAAGAAGATAATAGAAAACACAGTATTTGGTAGCACTGCTGGTGCATTCAATTAAGGACTCTGACAACAGATTGTAATAATATTTTGTATTATACAATTCATTAAAGTTGATTAACTTCTGTGTGTTAAACTTCTTGACCCTCCCCCCCCCCTTTTTTTTTTAAAGAATAGCCCAGAAGAATGAAAAAGGAAGAGAAATTCCTCTTTGTAACAGGTTGCTATGATGCTGTAAGAGTAGGCAGGACAAATTCAGGGTTTTACAAGCAGATCAAGAACCAGCATCATCAAGATAACTCCAGTGTTCTTAACTGCTTGTCACTAATATAATAATAGATATGCTATTTTGGTTGTCATTACATTTTGGTTTGTTTATTTTTACAGATGGAAAAAGCACTATCTCACACAATTCATTCTGATCCTAGAATCACAGAATCCTTAAGGTTGGAAAAGACCTTTAAGATCATCAGTCCAACTGCCAACCCAACACCACCATGCCCACTAAACTATGTCCCAAAGTGCCAGGTCTACACGTTTTTTGAACACTTCCAGTGATGGTGAAGATTAATATGAAGTGTTTTTAAAATAAATAAGCATACGAAAGAGTTTTTAGTGTGTTTAGGATCTGCCCTAGTGACCGAAGAGCTAACCTCCAACTACAGCAGACTTGTGCACGCACACTTCCTTTCGGTTCTTAAGATTACGGTGCCATCATGTGGCCACACGGTAAGGTTGCATGCTACCGAACATTCACTTCCTTGGCAATGCTTTTGGCGTTTTCCTCTTCCGAAACATCTCTATTCCGAAGAGGATCTTCTACCAAGATGACTACCCCCACTACGGGCAGCATCAATATTATGGGAACAGCAGCGAGAAAACACTCATGGCGACCGAGAATGGAGGTCCATTGGACGAGTGGGCATGGTCACCTTTTAATGATTCAGGCAGATGACAAGTGCGATACGGGAGAAGCGAGGCTTATTTCAGTTCCTGCACAACTTTTGCATGCACTGATGTTGTCCGGATTGCAGCCGTCTGCTCTGGAAGGAGAGCATTTGACATTCTTGTCCGTAGCCTGGAAGTTAGGAGAATAAAAACACATTCCCTCCTGAGTTTCCTTTGGAAAGACAGTAAGGGTTGCAACTTGGATGGAAATGAGATGCTCAGGCTTCCAACATCTCCCAGAACCTGGCAGCTGCGATACTTCCCCTATCTCCCCCCCCTCCCCCGCAGCAGAAGTGGGCAGCACCAGTACCCCAAGCCTATTCCAAGTGAGCCCCCTTGATGGACTTCGGGGTTTTTTGGAGAGTAGGTGCCAGATGCGGGGGATGCCGGGACCAGGGAATGAGCCTTTCTTGCCACCTCCTATGGCAGCAACCGTTGCCAGGCTGGAGAGGGAAAAGGAGGAGGCGGAGGAGGAGCCGGACACACCCGCCCGTTACTCACCACAGGTCACCACCGAC